TCAGGGAAAGCTTTTGAGAGCAAGTGGCTTCTTCGCCCTAATAAATTATTTTTGTAAAAACGCAATCACGGAAATGCTTGTCTCTTTATTAGGCTAGTGGAATTCATCTACCGGATCAAATCCTCTGTTTTTTTAACGGGAAACTTTTTTTGCTAGGTGTTTAACATTTACTGCAGACCGAAATTGAAGCCTGAATAAAAGCGTGGCTTCGAGACTATACACTGATTTGTTTAGATTTTTTTGTCTGTGTGTTGGTGGAAAGTAGGGGGGGGGGAGGGTGGAAAAGGCCATCGCATTACAAAAGCGTTTCCGCCCGGCAGGAACCGAACCCATACCTCTTAGAGTCTAAATGGTATTAGTCTAAATTGGTTAAAAGCCAAATATTTATACTTTTAGACTAGATTGGTCAAATGGTCTAAATTGTAGACTAATATGCGATTGCCTTTTCAGCATGCAACGACACATTGCCGTAAGTTGATGTGCCATTTGAAGTAAGGAACTGAGCGGCTTCCGCTCTCCGGCCGGTAGATAGCAACTCACCACTGTCACGCGTTTTTAAAGCCGGGTTGAAGCCGGAGTCTCCATTTAAGGAATTCATATCGAGTGTAGATTCCACGTGTTAGGCCAGACGCTGAACTACCCGTTGAAAAGCGCCGAGAGCGTAGACGCCACACGTTTCACGCGCAACCCAGTTCCCCAGCAAATGGCTACCTTAATATTTGGTTTTTAATGACGAAGAATAATTTGGAAAGTAATTCGCTACATTTTCTGGTAGGTATTAGTTTACTCAATTACTTTTCAATTAATTAGTTTCTACTTTACCCGCATTACTTTTGGTGGCCAATATTCATTACCTTACTTTTTTGAGTAACTTGTACACGTCTTCTGTAGACAACCTGGCCGCCGATAAATGGTAGCGCGTGTTGCTTGGAACTAGGTTGCCGATCATATCATAGCTATTTTTATCTTGGACAGTATAGTTGTACATATGAAAGCTCAAATATATTATCAGCAGTAAAATGAGAAAATATAACGGGCAACAAAAAAATGTGAGCAAAGTAAATAACGGGAATATATTCTTAAATGCAGCCGTACGAACTATTATAAAGTCACTATTCAAACGGGTTGTACATTAAACTGCTCTAGTTTTTATAGAGTATGTGTGTTTTAGCTCCATGGCAGGTTGTCAAAAAGAAAGTTGCATATTTAGGGTATGAATCTCTCAAGATATTAAAAGTTTATGGAGCTAGGACGACGCCTCGGAAGCTTACACTTTTAACAGTTTTTAATATACATATCCTCAGCCCCTTATTTGTACCTAGGTAAGCAAATTTTTTAGAAACTTTTTGTGGGTACTGCCCTAAGGTTTTATACTTGTGTATTCCGATCCCATGTACGCTGTGTGATGTAGCTTCATATTCATTTGCCTGTACCTGGTTATTTTGTTTAGTAACAACACCACATATTTTTTGCTGTATCCTAGGTCAAGCAGTGAATACAGTATAGTGTTACTTTTCCAAAGAAAAATGTAGACAATACAATCTTTGTCTTGGCGACAACTCGTGATTTTGCTTTATTACAATTCTGAAACTGCAAATTGAAAAAAAGTCATAAATAAAAATTTCAACGCTCTCTGAATTTATATACTTGCTTCGCGAATCCTAGTATTGACAATAGTACATCTCGATTAAAAAAAATACCTAGCTATGTAATACTTTACATTTCTTTAAAAAGTTTAACTTCCAACATTATTAGTAGTTATTCCAACGTATGAAAAGACCTAAACTAATTTACGTTGTAAAATAATAGTTCACTACACCTTGTATATTCTGAGATGAGAACAATAAAAAGATTGACGAAGATTTTGTTGCTTTCTTCTGTTTTTTTTTCATTGTTCCACATCCAGTGTTTACAAAGTTTTGATCCATTACAAGCTCACCTGCACTCTATCAATGCTTAAAATGGTTTACTAGGTGTCTATGTCTTTTCCAAATTTCAGTCTTGTTTTACGTGGTGAATTATGTCACCGGTTTGGAGCCGTGTTACAAGTTCTTAACAACAGTCAGCCTGAATTTTTTTTCTAAATGCATCGGAGACTATATTTTGTAACAAATTTTACGCTGTAAGAACGTTACTCATATAAAAGTCGTTGAGACAAAAATAATTAAATTATAACGTATATGTGTTTAGCGCCAGAACTTGCTAGAAACGTACTCATCTATCCACAGCTGTGAACGTGTGTGATATGAATGCTTGCACATAGCATGGCTTGGCGCAATGCCCTCTGGCCGACACAATGGTTGTCTAAAGATCAGTGTCGAAAAATCCCCACATGACATGGATTTGTGATAAATATAGGTACATGCATGGTTAAGGATAACTATTTAATAAAGTTTTTTCATTGCTTAATTGTAAGTTCGCAATAAGGTTAGGCGCCACAAAGGATCTGAAAGTATAATCATGTATTGAAGCAATAGTACGTTAAATCTACTGTTGAATGTTTGCAATTATCATTTTCCTTGTACATTTTAATAAAATAATTATGCCCAATGATTAGGGAAAATCGTGCAGCAGTTCAAACATTCAACAATATCAAATTATGGTTTAGAATATACAGTGGTGATTTAAAGCGGAATAAACCCCAATACGAATATTGAGTCGCACAAAGGAAAGATAACTCCTGCCACAAAGAAAACGCAAATTATCACTTGCGTAAAGCGTGGTGATTAATTCCGAGACAATCCGACCGCAAGACAACATTTCTGGGAATTATTGTCTCATCAAATACGTGATGTTATGATCTCAGCAAATAATTATCGTTATGGTATCGGCAGAGACAAGCCAGTCACGGTTTTTTTATCTCTCATGTTTTTCAACTTCTATAGATTCATCGCAGCACAAACTAAATTTACCACGTAAATTGCGTAAAGAGAACGTTCCTTGTTGTGTACTAGTGGTTCTAATTCTTGTGGTAGTGGTTAGAAATATCTTAATAAAATTCGCAAGCTAAAGATTCCTGGAAAAACATCTAAGAACCGCGCAAAATCGGACAAACATAAAAAAAGATGCGATGTTTCTGTATATTTCGAGCTGTTATTTTATTTTATTAATCAATCACCATCTAGTCCATAAATTCAATTTTACATTGCTTTGAGAAATTGATTAGCGATTTGATTAGCGAAACTTATATTTCACTCTTTATCACGTTATCGCGGAGCAAGGTTTACCACGTTATAAAGGTTACTTGGAGGAATAGTATGTTTAACTGTAAGTTACACTTTTTAAAATATATTGAATTGAAAAGCTATGTATCTCAGCTTTTTTATTGAGTTTCTGCCTTTTATGTCACGGAAACTTCAAAACAACTAAATAAATTCCCATTCAAGCGATATATTATTATAAATATTTTGTATATATTATAAATAAAAATCGGCATCGTTAGGTGTTTTGATTGTTTCAGTTTAACATTTGGAAACACTTTTTCAATTACCAGGTCTTTTTTTAATTACCAGGAGACCGACGCTTTTTGTGTAAGGAAGCGTTGGGAGAATACGTAATTGACTTTGGACAAATGGTTCTTGGCTGGTATAGAGGGTGTGCGTTTCGAGATGTTAAAGCCATACTTGTCCTCACAAAGTAAAAAACAAGTCACACGAGACACTTCAAAAATACTTGATCATTTATTCTTCGTTTCACACAGGCAATATTTACAGGTTGCGCCTTGTGATTTTAAGTTTGGGATAGCATCTGTGTATACACTGCAAGGTAGCAACGTAGTAAAATAAAAAGAAAATATCAAGAGTTGCTTTTGGGGTAGCAACTATACCTTGTTTTATGATGATGAATTTACCCATTAGCGTTGTGAATTTTTAGAGATTCACAAATTAAAACATCAAGCATGGGCGTAGGGCTTTCTTGCCTGGGTCCCTACCTAATGATGGATTGTTGTTCCGACAGCCTTGTTCAGATTCTTACCCTGAAAATGCATGCATTTGTAGTCTCTTGTTTTTTGCTTATTTTGAATGCTTAAAAAAGTCCTAAGTTTCTAGCTTTAACAATCAAATGTTTCTTTCTCTTCTTTATGTTTGACTTTGCAATGTCAATTACGTAGTACACGTAAACTATTTTTTATAGATGATCAGTTCTGTCTCTATTATTACTGAACGCTGGGTAAGTTGTAATAAGTGATGGATTGTCAGCGGGTTACATAGGAATGCAAGAAGACAACTTATATATTTTATACTGGAAGAGCCATTTTCTCTTGTATCATCAAGTATTTGAGAGAAACAGCAAATGATAGCCAATGCCTATTTTATCGCCGTTTTATATACATACAAGATAACCGAATTAAGGGGATGAATTTATTATCTTCTAGTTTAACGAAACTATTCTTGACAGATACAAAAAATATTAAGGAAAGCCAGTTTTACCCGTAGGAACATGTTAAAACAATGTGAGAGGAAAATATTCAGTTCAATCCGCCACTTGGTGTCGCAAAGATCAGGGAAGTCAACAGGGCGTTTTTTACCATATATTCTGACGTCACATCAACAGATGTATACTATATTTGATGCTCCAAACCACACGTTACCTTTGGCCTAAAGGAATAGATGCATTCATTGGAAACAACAATATTTTCTCTAAACTATGAACTGCAATAGACTATCTGTGCATGTCAACAACTTGCTAAAGCCAACAAAACATGCGAATACACGACAGGGCGTAGCTGTCATTTTAACTAAATTCCCAGGATATTCCGAAAAAGCCGATAACTTTTCATGCAATTCTAAGACTGGAAACATGGGCGAAAGAACTGAGTATCCGAGGAGAACTTCAAACTTGGATCTAAATGGTTTCTTGTGCTTCGAGGTCATAACATGTCCTGCACAAAATAAAATGGTCAACTGATTTTGCAGGAAAAAATATGAAATAAAAACGTCCCTCGGTTTCGCTTTTTTCGCTGATTTCCGTGGCGCATCCTTACAGACTCGGGACAATTTTGCGAATGACAAGCGGTAGTGCTTGAAGACGCGAGCTGCTACAGTCTACAGTCGCCGCTGGGCTTGCCGTCGGCGTGCATCTTCTCCCCGAGGATGGTGATTTTGGTGCAGCTGGGCAAAGGAAGGGCCTTCAGCACTGGCTTGGCGACTTCTAGGAACCTTCGAGGGCACCCGTCCTTTGCGGCAATGATTCCCATCTTCTCGCACATGATCTGCTCGAGGGCGTGCAGGGGCTCATCGGTGATAATGCTGCACAGGAATGCTCCGAGGTAGCCCATGACAATGAGGCCACAGAAAAGGAACAGCTGCGGGAAATCAGAAAAAAAATTGCGGTTCCTTCCCCCATTACCGGGAGGAGTTGTCAACTAGCGCATCTAGCTTGTCCGGGACGGCACTACGGAACGCGTTGCACCAATATCAGTATTTAATAAAATACACTTTAGAAATACGCCGTGCCCACTCTCTCCTCTAAATGTTGAATATCTTTCGAATTAAAAATACGCATTCGCCGAATGCTTATTCTATTCGGTCCAAACCAGAATTAGAAGATTCAAACCCAACGATTATCACAGTGAAATGTTATAATTGGTTTGACGAACATTTTAATGGTGAAATGGGAATGGCTTCCCCGCGTTTTTTGTAACTCGCGCCCTCTAATTTATTACGGCCGCAATTCGCCTAGTATATTAGTAAATGACGTATTCGTTTTAAATAGTATACCGGTTAGTTCTGAAACTTTGGCATCTGGTTTCAACCACTAGCGCTACATTTCGGCGGAGAATAAGCGCTCCGCGACGCGCAATTGTTTCCGTAAAAGACATCCCCCTAATTTTTTGGCGAGACCCTGCATTTCTGGCTCTTCATTTTATTATATTGCTTTTCTCTTGCTTGCGTAATGATAAGTAAGCCTATTTATTATTTCTTTGACTGAGAAAACATCACGCTCTTTTGGCCAGCACGTGGAGGAGAAACACGCTTTCAATCTCCATCTCTAGTGAAAAAAGAAGTTAGTACTAACTGTGGCCCCGAACGTTTTGTTTAGTGTGACGTTTAGGTGTGCTGACTATAAATAAAAGCTAGACTTGACGCAGTCCTCGTTTTCACTCGGCTACCTGAAAAACTTCCTACGTCAAATTATTGTGCCATTACCCGCACTCAGGCGTAAAAGTCCTATCCTTCGCATCCACTTGGGTACTTTTTGTCTGTCTCGAATTGCATAGAAGTTTTTTGATGGACGAATGACATATGCAGCAGGTAAAACTCAGACGATGCTGGTTATGAAATTCTTGCTTAAGATGCAAAAGGGATATGTAGAGCTCTTTTGAAACTCGGCCCCTAAATATTGCCTAAGGGTTTTAGACACAATAAGGAATATGTCGCGAGGTTCTCGCGTGTTGCGTTTCCGCAAAGTGCTCAGATCTTCAACTCCACTAAACGTTGGCACAATTTATGTTTTTAAAGAGCCGCTCCTGTAACGTGTCAAGTTTCTTAATAAAATTGAAACTTAAAAAACGGAGATTATAATTACTTCTGTGTTTTTCGCACGTAAGTATCCCCAAGTGTTTTCTGTTCGAATACACAATGAGTAGTACTACAGGCTTTATTAAAAGTCTTGCAGAAAAGAACCCGGCTGAGAGAGAGAGAGAGAGAGTATTACAAAATAAAATTGTAATTATCTTGCTCGTAGATAAAACATTACTATATCTTGAAAATGCTCATGAAGCGTTCTTAAATACATTTTTGTTTACACAAAGTACATCGTAGTTCTCAGGTCCCCGAAATATTTATTAAATAAATTGCCGAATGTTGTACTTTGGTTCACATTACATAATAAAAACAATTCCAGGGTGTTATCCAGTCTTCTGGATGATTAGGCGCACCATTTCGCTTACCAATGTTGTAGTACTGAAAATTATATGGTATCAGATACACAACAGTAAAAGCAATATATTTCATTCTATTATTCATTTTTGTTTCGCGCTGCTTTGAATATATTTTGCAAGACACTTTCGCCTCACCGCTTTCCAGAATGTGTCCCTGAAGCCTTTAAAGGGATGCTGAACCGAAATTTAGATTTCGCACGGTAAGGCCACAGAAGCGTTGTACCGCACGCTACGAACTCTGAGACCTCATTCATACATCGATATTTCAAACGGATGGCCGTATCTTTGTAAAAGAAGGGCGCGATCAAGCGAGGACTCTGACGTCACGATCTTCCTGGAATAGTTAAGAATGAGGGGAAGCTGCTTCACTTCTCTCTTCCTTGCTTCGGGTCACCAGCTTGACGGGACGAAGAGAGAAGGAGAGGGAATAAGAATCATGGCTCGTGAGCCTCGTCGGCCCTGTTCAATCGCGCATTTCTTTTCCGAAAATACGGCCATGCGTTCAAAATATCTTGGTATGAGTGGAGCTTTTAAGTTCTACAGCGTCCTGCCTTTCAGTGAAGCCCTGTTTTGTGAGATCGAAATTTTGGCTCAGTTTCCCTTCAAGAATTTACCTTTTAAGTTTTACCTCAGTTGAAAAACATTTTTAACAAAGTCATAACAATTCCTCTAAAGTAGAAGTGAAATTATCATTGTACGTCTTAAATGGGCATATCTCCAATTGAGGGAACGTGTGAAAATTTGTACTAAACTCAAAAATATTGCACAGGCACACAACCATAGGAAAACATATTGCCATCTTGCTGCAGAATTGCAAATTATATAAGTAGCAGCTTCTACAAAATCCAATACGAGGCAAGGCTATTTTGTTCTCCTTTGAAACTTTAAAAACCGTGGGGTTGTCAAAAATTTTAGGTTTATTTGTTTTAACTCGCAATAATTTGTTTAGAAAGCTATGGTCTCAAGCTGTAAAGGGAAGCCATCAAATTCAGGACAAATCATCAGGATGTTTTTGCAAGTCGCTATGGCTCATAATCATGTGCAATTTTTGACTACATAATTTCAAGAAAACTAATGCACACTTGAAATTAAGCAACAGGTCGAAGATTGTTGCGGAAAGAATGTATGTTTTGTTTTGCGTTCCTCTTTTATTTACGCTCAGCTATATAGATTTTCTACACTTTGGGTACTCTGGTGAACTTCACTGAATATCGGAGAGGTTTGAAAAAAGTTGATACACCATGGGAGTATTTATTTTCCTCAGCTGTAGCTGCTCATCGGCCCATGTACAATATATGCGAAACTCAGGGTTCGCTATATGTGTTAACAAATATCAAATTGCCATCAATGTTCCATTCTATATCTGGAAATGCATTTTATTAAGAGGTGAAGGGGTTTCGATGAGTGACCGCGTGAATGCAACTTTAACCCCTTGGTTTTTCGTATCGACAACGATAACCTTCACTGCCACTGTGAATGCATTTTGCATCAATAATTGTACTTTTACTAAACCTATTGAAAAACTATTGATTTGTTTTATTCCCGAAATGTCTGAAAAATCGGCGCCTAGGGTATTGGACGATGCACTTCGCGTATCTTGAGAATGCACATTTTGGAAATATTGCCTGCCCGGTGGAAGATGGCGTGCGATAATGCAAATCAGCTTTGATCAATCGTTCCTGTTATTCATCCTCACAATCTGTGATTATATTCCAAACACACGCAGTTTGAAACAAGTATCACAAGAAAAAGCGACTCACGGCCATCAGCTGGTCAGCCTGCACACGCTCCCGCACGTAAGCGGTGAAAACGTTCTGCACCAGTGGATGAAGCAGGAACACCAGCGGCGCCAGGCGGCTCAGTGGACCAAAGGCGGACCAGGACAGGAAGTCACCCACGAGCCCTGCGTCGTCTCGCACATACAAATGTCTCCCTGCTGGTAGGCTGCCGACAATTGTACGGCAGCCGTGGAGGGGTCTCAATCTCTGCCATACTAAGTTCGAGTTTGATGCTAAGTTTGCCTAAGTTCGAGCGCAGCAGACTCAGCGGACCGATCAGTGGAGCCAATCACGCAGCAACAAAATTGCATGGTCATGGCGCTTGTCATTATTCGGCGTTTGGTGTCAAAGGCCAAACCAAGCACGCGCAAAATATGCACCGTGGTCTCACGCTTTTTTTTGTTTGTACATCATTCGTTACGCCGGTGAATGAAAATGCAGAAAGATGACATTCACCGTGACGATTCACTTTTGACGCTTTTTTATTAGCTTGAAAAAATCGTAACGGCGGTTGCGCTGGTGCTTAGGGTCAACAGAGAGTATAAGGAGAGAGCGTTGCTACATTCGGCTGACTGTCGTTGGGGTAACTTTTAACGCGAAAGCCTTATATGTCCCATTACGCGAAAAGGCGGCGTCGGGGTTGTGCCCGAAAGATGGCCACAAAAATACGCCATCAAGCACCCGTCGCTCAAGTTCAAAGCGGACGCTCCTTAGGAATAAAGCACAAAAAAAAGCAAAGCAACCCAGATTCTTCGTCACGGAAGCCGTGAGGCAGGCGGGGGCGCGGCGCCTGCGCAGTGGGGGAGCGTGATATCACCGCCGGAGCACTGTGTGCAAAAGGAATAAGTGGGGTGCTGCTTGTAAGATTGCGCTGCGTGAAGGAACGCTATTGCATTCCTACTCATAAGCAGTCTTATATGTCTTCGGTGTTTTTTTTTTTTTTTTTTTTAAGACTGTTTCTTGAGCTTCCGGAGAATCTGGATTTAATACGACAATGTCGCAACGTCTTGACATTCAGCGACCAGCAGGAAGGCCTTATACGAGGTGTGATCAAAAAGTTCTGGGACCGCTTTTGTAGCATAAAAAGAGAGAACTGCACAGTGATGCGCGCCGCAGTCGAAGCAAGGGACCTTTGTGTTCCCTTATACCAAGTAGCGTCGCTCTGTAAACATTTGGAACTGCGCTACACAAGTTTTCTGACGTCGTGCACTGGCACAATGGCGATTTCACCACAGATTGCAAACCAGAGCTTGAGCGTACATCCATTCGGAGCCAAACTAGGCAAATATAAAACAGAGACCTTTCAATTCATTCTGCGGGCTTCCGTCAAAAATCAGCTAATTTTGCGTAGTGTTTTAGGTGGCAATCGCTCTACAAGAACGACAAAACATCGCTTGAAAAAAAGTGCGGTAGGGCGACCTTATCCTGTCTCTCCTCGACTTCAGTGACGTTCTGCAATTCTTGAGACACTTGTGGTACTCAAAACACCTAGCTCACTTTACTGCTTTCAGACATCAGACTTTTATATTATTTCAGAGGTCTCTGTTTTCGATTTGCCGACTTGGACGTAATATTGATGTTTGCTCGCGCTTTGGTTTGCAGAGTACTGAGAGATCGGCAATATGCTCCTGCATGTGGTCAATCGAACACGTGTAGCGCAAATCCAAATAGCTGAAGAGCGACACCCCTCGGAATAGCCAGACGGAAAGATCCATTTCTTCGACTGCTCCTCGAGCTTCACTGTGCTGTCTCCTATTTTTACGCTGCAGAATTAGTGGCGGAACTTATTGATCAAACCTTGTATAAACTTGAAGCATCCATTTAGTATTGAAAGGCATGCTTTGCTCTGTCCATGAATACGGGACCAAATGTTCTAAATAGGGCATAAAATATACACAGCCGAAGGTGTGTCTCCAGTGAGATTAATAGTGCTATCAAGAAACTTGATTGAAGAAGGAGCTAAACTGTCAAGCTAGAATAGTAAATATAACTAATGGAGTTAAACACAGATCTTATCGCATATCGATAGTAGCTGGGTGCCGTGTGCAAGCACCCACGACCCCAAATCTGCTTTGTGTTAGTCTGATATGTACAGGTAAGTTAGCAGGTTTATTCACTCCAGGTGAGCGACTTCAATGCGATGTGACGATTGTATTTGTAAAACAGGTATATTACCGTGATTTAGTAAATATTAACTCTCAAGTAATTTTAACCGCCTATTTTATTTGAACGACAGCTCACAATTACACGATGTCCTTGATTACTTTATTGTGTTATTATTATTGTGCTGCCAGTTCCTCCTATATACGTTCAGAGCGTGGCAAAAGGTCATCTCGAGGCCCTTATACCTACCGCGCGTAGCAACCGCTTGAGGACACCATGTTAAGACAGTACATAATAATCATCGCGCGTTGTGTACCTAGATTCCAGAGTGTTTTCAACTGCTCGATTGGGTTTACATAGTAGTCGTGTTTATAAATGAGCTACGAGGAGGAGAAGAGAGTGTTGATCGTCTGTAAGCGTATCTGCCTTTCCGCCCGCGTTCATTCTAGCCCCGCGACAATGTAGTGCACACGCACTTGCGAGTGCGCATGCACTACATTGTCGCTGCTTATGATTTCAGTTGATCCTTTTCTTGAATCTAGGCTTTCTAAGTTCACACTGTAGCTACATCCTCTGCTTCCACCGCCTCGGTTCGTCCTGCGTTTGACGCACGGCGTTGGACATCGTCTGCTGCCTGCGCTTTGCCTCAAAGATTATAAAAACGGCGTTCTGTTGTGTGCACCGATTCAACCCGGATAACAAAAGAAGGCTGTGGGGCTTTCGTTTCTTCAAATTCCAGCTGACATTGATTTCATAAAAAGAAAAGGTATTGTGGCAATCCGACGATAAAACTGGATACAGAGTGCGACGTCGTGCTGCACTACGGTTTGCAGCGAGCGCAAAACCGCATGCCGTGTGCTTCTTTCGAAATAACGGAACGTTCATATTTAAAGTAGAGCAAGCAGAGCTCCAGAATTGTAACATGGCCACATTCTTTTCTGAATGCGTGTGTGGTACCGTTTTAGCGTACCGCCCGCGTATTCTGAACAAAATGAACGGACGGATGGATGCACTGCATTCCTTTGTTTATCCATCAAAACTACCCTATTTTAGTTGCGCGCCCAGCGGGAAAACTTTGCACTCGCGACTGCGGCGGCGGCTTATTGTTTTCTGACTCTTCTACAAGGAACTGAGACTGTAGAGGAGGCACTGGTACTGCACATGTTAGTTTCACACTCTGGCTAGACGGGAGCAAGACGGCTGGAGCGGAGGTGAGTTTTAAAAGGAAACTGAAAATTACAAACGCGTCCAACGAGCTGTTGTTTTCGGCACCCTGTAAAATGTTGCGCGTGTACTCTAGTTTTGTAAATGCGATGATTTAGTAGTTCTCAAACATGTGCGAAAACTTTTCGATTGCCACAAAACCTTTATAGTTTGTAATTAAAAAAAAATTACTCAAAAGCAATAAAACAGCTTAAATGTACCAAACGTTGATTACTTTCTAACGCGGACCCTTGGAAGAGACCAATACTATATGAACAGTGCTTCTCTTTAGTGTGTTCACGCCCCGAAAATGTCTTTGTCCGTGTTAAAACAAAAAAAAAAAACAAAAAAAAAAACGATATAATATTTGGCATGAGTGGTGTGACTTAGAGTTTCCGCAATATGGCACGCCAGTATTAAATATAATGGGATGATCGCTACTAAACGGGGACCTGAGTGGCAATGGTGATGTTATCCCTTTCAACTACCGATGACTGGATGCACGTGCCAATGGCCCTCACCATCAGTGCAAACTTCCAAATGTCATGCGAAAAATGCCGGAAGATAGCCGGTGGGTACTGCAAGACTGATTGGTGATGTCATGTTCAGCGTTGATAGACTCGCGGCCACACTTTGGTCTCGGCTCACATGCTTTTCCAGTGGCGCAGGCGAAGGTCACCCAAGCAATGGAGAGCGCCCACACGGTGCGGTGGACGGCGGCGTACAGAGCCACCTGTGCTGTGCCCAGACCCTCGCCGCAGTTCCACCGGTAGGCGCCGAACAGCACCGCCACGGCGCAGAGGAAAGAGCAGACCCAGCCGAGCGTTCTGAGCACCTGCGGACGTTACGTGCAAAGTCTTCAAATAGTGTTTGCTGTGCGATATTTTATAGTGTGTATTTGCCACGAAATTGTTTTCTTGTGATATGTATTAGAATAAAGATTTCTGGTGTAAGGATTGAGTTTTAACGACTCATTCTCATGACATACAGTTTAACTAAGTCATTATTTTGACGTACTATGTGTTTCTTTGTGTCTTTTTTTCAGAAGGTAAGATAGAATCGCATAACATAAAGGAGAGCAGTTTCGAATGAAGAAAACGATATTGCAAAAAGTAAGTTAAACTTTAACTGCGCAATTAGAACCAATATTTGTTTGGTTCCTCGAATACTCCTGATCGCATTTTATTGCAAGATCAGCGTTGGCATTCCATTGACTTAATTGCGTAAATGCCGTACATCCACCACCAACAGGCTATAACTTGCATTTTCTTGGATATATCTTACTGCTTACTTTTCACATTGTTGTCACTTTATTTGAATATGAATAATTTCCGTATTCGGTGGCACGCTCTACCACAAAATAGAAACCAGGGCAAAACGCGGACGGTTTTCCCAGTGTCGGTGGCGGATCTTTAAAAAACACTTTACTTTTCTCACGATCATCAAATATAAATTAAATTTTCTAAAACATTATAGCGATAGATTTAACTCAAGGTACAAACAAATGACTATCTGAAGAAACACCGTGTTCTTTAGTTTTTTTTCTTGTCTTGAAAAAGAGCGACGAGAAAGCAATGACAAGGCAGAGATGCAAGCAGACATGGAAGTAATTCGTTACAAGAGAAGGAATATCTTGTAACCTCTTACTTTCTATAATTTGAGAACTCATTCCTTACTTATCTGAAAAATATTCTCGATGTTTTTCATCACATTTTGGGCAGGGACATATTGACAGTTACTCTATCTGTATTTTCGTTCCACCAAAAGGAGATATAGAGCCAACTATTGGAAACACAGTGGACTTCGCGCTCTTTATATGGTAACCTAAGGAGGCGTGGGTCCGCGATGGAGAAGACTGCTAGTGAGGGAACGGAAACGAAATCACCGAGAGCACGATACCCCGGAATTCCCATTTTCGAGCTTTTTAATTCGCTCTGTATAGGTAGGCAGATTTAGCGTCGTGCATACTTTAAGGCAAAAAGACTCGAGCTTTCGGATAACGAAGGAACTGCTTTGAGCGCACAAAATAGTTGAAAAATAATGACCCATCAACCTGTCGGGTGAGGAAGATCCGTGGGGCATATGCATATCCCTCTCTCCGCCTTGTCCCCCAAAAGTCAATCTGTGTTTTTCTTTTCGTAATTGCCACACGACACCGAAAGAACCCGGAGAAGTTCCTTACATGCTTGTCAGTGTTACTATGTACGCACGTGTGCCCCCATACAGAGTGATGGCACCTCGCGCCTGGTAAACCCTGAGAGCGCTGTAAATGCCAAATACTGGCAGGACCGACCAGTGATGCTCTCCATGGCACGTGATTTCGCGCTAGTGGGCGCGTGTTGGCAGTACCTTTGGGGTTGCGGTCACATCCATGTCTTGGAAAGAAAGTAGCATCAACCTTGTTATCAGTATAAACTGGGATCGGCGCTGACCCTCAAAACTCATCACTTTTGAGCAGCAGACCATCAGATGATAGCAGTACAAAGCCCATAAGTCTTGTGTTTACAAAAACGAGAATTCCGGGATCATAGCCAGCGGATCGTGCAGGCAGAGACGGGCTGAACTTTAGGGATACGAAAGGAGCCCCGCGCTTTCTGAGAAAAAAAGGTGGATGACGTGACACTAGAGTTGATACAGTCTAGGACAGCTGTAAACGCGTTAAAGACGTAAAAGCCTCCTAACAAATGACAATTATATTTAATGCGTCAGCAATAAGGCCCGTTCACACACTTGCAACCGAGTATCAACGAGAGAGACGAGACCTTTTGAAACCTCTTAAAATTTCTGAGGACGAGAGAACACACTGGCACTCTGGCGCCATCTATGCAGTGACCCTGGATCTTTATTTCACAAAAGCGAATGTTTCGCAGGATTTCGGAGGTTAAATTTGCGTCGTACCTATGAGAAACGCTCGTATATAACGTTGACGAAAGTATTTTCGAGCCAAGAAAGAAAGGATAATGCGCTAGAGAAATAGGAAAGATGCCGGGCTCGCCAAGTTTACACAACTACCCAATAAATGGCGCCAGTGTGTCCTCTCGTTGTTAGATATATTTAGAGGTTCCAAGAGGTCGCATGTGTGCGAACGGGCCTTTAGTAGCAACATGACAGGGGAAAGCTGACGGCGCCCGTCTTCGGACAAAACAATGGAAAGGGAAGTGCGCCGCGAAGAGAGGAGGAGAGCAGTGAAGGACAAAGGAGAGAGGGAGGCGACGTCGCGCGCCGGAAGCCGATGCGCGCGCGGATACTGGGGCGAGTCTGAACTTGCAGGTGTGCGGAGCGCCCGTGGCTTGCTTTGTGCTACAAAATGGACTGTAAACCAAGTACCAGCACTGGTCCAGGTAGGCGGTGAAAGAAGCCGCATTTTGAACAAGGGAGACGGGCTGCCAAAACCGGCGAACACCTAAATCAGCTTTAGGCAGTAGACGCCGCGGCTAAGCTTGCAAGGCGGGTGAACGAGAATCGCCAAGGCTTAAAAAAAGTAAATGAATATCCGCTGGTGGATTTGTAGGGAATGTTCTCATCATTCCTCAGAGGGGGATGTGTGTCGCACTTCCCAAGTGCCGTGCTAACGTATTCCTTAAAGATCCACCGATGAAACTTCTTTTTTTTTAAAATAATTTCTGAACTGGATTTTAGTTCAGTGTGTGTGTGAACTAATTATTTTAGTGAAGTGTTGGTTTTGATGTGTTTTGAAAGATATCATATCAAGTCTGTCATTCTGCCGGAAAGCACCCTTCGTCAGCAGCACTCATCGATACTTACCCAAAAGCAAGTACACAATTTTAGTCTCACTGTCACTTTTACTGGATAAAAGACCCTCCATTTAGGCGATATGCAACAACCATTAAAAAACACAACTTCAGAAAAAAAGCGTTTGCTGCTCGCTGATGCCAAGCTTGGATTATGTGGAATAGTGCTCGTGCCTAGTCTGCTCGATTGCATTTGACACGTGTTCGTGTAATCCAGTGCAAGGCGCCTTTATTCGGAACTTCTACTTAGGTCGATCGAGATTGTATGGGTTTGTCCCCCTCAAATGATAAACCTAAAATTAAGGGTAGGTTGTAGTTTGCGAAGGTTATTTGCGCTTTATTTTAATGGGGCAAATAATTCAAACAAGCTGTAGGCACTGCGTGCCATCTGTGCGTTTCTTGGAGTGAGACAAGGGTGATTGAGTAACGCTACAAAGTAAGTAATCGATTTATTTTCAATACGAATCATCTGTAACAGTAGCCCACTGCATTTTGGCCAGGTAATTTAATGTGGAGCTAATTACTTTTGGTGAAGTCATGGGCACAAATCTGAATGTAAGCAATCCGCAGAAGGAAATATAAAACTACCATAATACTCTGCTTTATGTTAAAAAAATAGAGCTTCAAATTAATAAAGCGTTTGGTAGTTGCCATTTGTTGTTTACGTACTGTGAAATGATAAGCGATAAGTCACGAGTACAATGTTCACCATACTTATACGGAAAATTAAAAATGTGTCTTTTATCATTGTTACCCTGAGAAACTGCTCTATGATTAAGCTCTCAGTAGCCCTCTCCCCTTTGACCTTCCGTGTAATACAGACCGCACTGCACCGGTGCGATGCCGGCCCAGACGAATTGGCCATTAGTGTGCAGGCGAGCGCTGTTGCGTGCAGCAGGCTTTGGGCAAAGCGTAGCTCCTCATGCACGTGGACTCATTGCATCACGGGGAAAAACAGTGCGTACCAAGGGATGGCGCAGCGTGAATATATATAATACACGAGACAAAACTCAAAGGGTCCTTACAGTTCAAAAGCACGAAGAACTCAAGGCTATGCCCGCACGCACAAAGGACGTGCGGGCGTAGCTTATGGCATACTGTACTCCTGAAGAAAGTTAAACTTATTTTGATAATTCTCATGAACCCGGCAATAAAAAAATATGTCGTGTGTGCAGGGCTCCCGAAGCCCCCCAACGCTCCCAGAAACCAGCCAAAGCATATTGTAATGCACGCATTATACACGCACGACACATTATTTTCTGCCCGGCTTTATTAGAATGATTATGACAAGTTTAAATTGTTCTTTGCTATTGCCAAGTCTGAACGCCACAGGACGATGGTCCTTGAATTACACCGGTGTCGCACAATATTTGAAGCATAAAGGCATAAATTCTAATGACATAAAATCTGTCTAAACGGGCATTACTGGGTTTTTGTAAACGTACGACTTCGAAACCTACAGCACAGGCATAATTGTAAATAAAAGTTGTATGCGCCACAAAATTGAAGACCAGCAATACTTAGGTCTGTACAAACAATACCTCCTTCGTTATTTGATTGGAATGTGAGATTACGTTATCTCCTTGAGTTGGTAGGTACTGCAATTCCTTGCTATGCACTCCTGGAGTTTAAACACTTTTTTTTACATAAATCCCCGTCGCTCAGTATTTAAAGGCGTTTTTTTTATAAATAGACACGTCATAAAAACAATTATCCGAAAAAGACTTTATTTTATTTTTATTTATACCCATTCTCGTTCGGCACCTCGCCGCGTACTGTTTCGTATCGAGTGCATGTGCAATACTTGAGTTTAAGGAATGAGCAATCAAGCATCTTCAGAGAAATGGCCACAGGCCCTGCATTATTATTGCTCGTTTTTTTTTTCCCCGTGCTCAAAAACCATTACCGCAATGCCCGTTAAAAAGAAATGCAATTAAATTATTCACGGACCAACGCAGCCGTTACTAAGCCTCCCCATTATTTTGGTTGTAAAAACATTAACGCGTGTTTTTTTTTCATTTTTCCGATTAACCAGAGCCATGCAGCCAGATACGTGATTAAGGGCTTCACAGTTTTATGGAATACCTTAAAGCGATAGTAGTTTTGAGGGAAAATAAGAAGGACATCAGCACGCTGAGCTATAATACTGCTCGCTTAAGCCATATTAGGTCCTTCAAAAAGAACCTGCTCGGAGCATAGAGCACGTTGCGTGAATTTCTCGGCGGTAAAGGTCAGGACAGATAAAGGGGAATTAGAGTAATTCCATTGTCCCCGCATTTGGGTTTAATATATAGTGCCCTATCACTGTCGTGAAGGAATATATGAGGAGGCAGAGAAAACATTCGAGTTAGAAACAGCAATGCGTAATACTTTTTCAAATGATGCCGAAGAAAGTGTTACATGTATACCTCTACGTTTTGAACAAAAAGTTGTAAACGTAAAACACGACATAAAATAAATATATATGCTTAATAATACATAGCAAACATTCAACGTTACTTTCCCATTTTTTTGCGGAAGGAGGCTGCAGCGTAAATAATATTGGAGCATAAATACTCAGAGAGGCGATGCGAAATGTAATGCAATAATAGATAGAGACCATGAAAATTAGTTTTTTCGGGTCATAATTTTGAATCTGTTTCAGGTTTGTTGACCATCTAAAATTAGCACACAAATTAGGGGATGCAAGTCTTCTGGGGTGATCAACAGAAGGTTGTTCCAGGAACTGCACTCATTATTAATCCTTTTGAATACCAGCTGAACATTGAGGATAAGCGAAGGAGAGAAAAAAATGAAGAACCCCACTGCTGGGACCATCAATCTTTTCTCCGCTCCTTCGCTTTTCCTCTACGTTCAGCTGGTATGCAAGGAAGCATGTGAAATCAATCGGCTCAGCTCCAGACCGTCACACCACCCCTTATTAATCTTTGAAGCTTCGACACTTGCTATACATTGCGCGAATTTAAGGATGGGCACCTTCAAATCGTTAGATTTGGGAATTTTACCAATAGAATAGTAACATATCTTGCACGTTTATGCGGTTTTTCAAAAAAATTTCGGATATGTAACAAAGCGATAATATTGGGGCGATTAAAGTGCCGGGGACTGTGCGCTTCGTCTGTGCCTTTGGAAGGACGGAGGGGGCATCGTCTTCGGAACGTATGAGCTTAAATAGGTATTTCGTGCTCCTCTCAAAACACAAACTGACGATTTAGAAAAACAAATTCTCCACTTGAATTTTAGGGTGGCAAAGTAAATGAGGCCTTTAGAGTCCCTATTGACTCTAAGGGCATCTCTAGTAAATTTCCTGGTGCTAGTTGTCTTTATTTGTATGTCTTTATTTACAATCGGCCAATGTTTACGAAGCAGAGAAGCAGCGAGCTACCACCTACCAAATTTGCAGCAAAAACTGACCGGGCCTGACGGTCGAAATGTGAAAACAAAAAAATCGGGAATAAATAATAAATGATGGTTGTTTGAGATACGTTCAGAGACTGGTACTTTATGCTTCAAATAACGTTTTCAATATCCTTCATTTATCCTTCGTATGCCAATATAAGAGAGCGTAATGGAACTATAAAGTCAGAGAAACACGGATCACGAGTTCTTAGGGTACTTACAGGGTTCAACGTCACCACGGGCTTCCTAGTCAAAATGCAGGCCAAGCCAATGCCAATGCAGAAAGGACCAAGATGAGCGTATGGTTTTTGGTACATGACGTTCTCCATCACAAGGCGTGCCCTGCAATGGACAGAAGAAGATTAGCTACTTCCCAAAGAAATGCCCTTCACATGAGAGACCCGTTTTTCTTTTGAAAGGAGCAATGGTCACACTCCTTGCCTTCGGGAGTCTAGACTTGCACTAATACCTGCTATTCAAAGGCGACTTGAACAGACAGCAACCTGTGACACAGCTAGGAGTCATCGAAGAATAACTGGGGAATAACAATACATGGATACACATATTACAGGGTGTTTCACGAAAGGTGGAAAAATTCGATATTACAAAAACTACGCATCGCAACGAAACACGGCTTGTGTCGGTTTGGTCCTGGGCCAGGGGCCTATTTAAAATTTAAAATCAGGGATAATTAAGTTGTTAATTATTTTCACGCAATTAACTTTTTTTAATATTGTGTTTAAGAGCATGGTTTTAATTAAAAAATTGCTCAGCATCATAAAAATACACTAACTCAACAAACTGCAGAACGATAGAAGGCAGGCGAAGCATTTTACCGCTTTCTGATAAACCGCACAAATTCGACGGGTTTTTAAGTTACAGCGCACCAGAGGCTGGTTGCGGTATTTCACCACGGGGCGCGGTGCCGTCGGGGCCGAGATGCGCTCCGATAGCAAACCGAAACTTAAAAACCCGTCGAACTTGTGGCGGTTTTTTAGAACGCCGTAAGATGCTTTGGGTGCCTTCTAGCGTTCTGCAATTTGTGATTAAGTGTTTTTTTTTGATGATGCTGAGCAATTTTATAATTGAAACCGTGCCCTTAAACACAATAATAAAAAAGTTAATTATACGAAACTAATTAACGACCTGATTATCCCGGACTTTAATAATTTTCCCAAATAGGCCCCTAGCCCAGGACCAGAACTACACAAGCCTTTATTTTTTTTTTATTGCCACGCGTATTTTTCGCAATATCGAATTTTTCCACTTTTTGTGAAACACCCTGTATAATTAAGTTAATCCTAAAAAATATCTTATCACAATTATTTTACCAATAAGCTGCACGCCAGGATTACATACTGAAGAGAAACAATGTATTTAGGTACAATATTTGAGGCCCGGGGCGTAATTCGCTAGATTCATTGGAGTCCGTGAAGAAGGTGTGCGCTTATGGGGGGTGGTTGAGTGCGCGATCAAAGAAGGCATGCTGCGCATATCAATGTATATAAAGAATGATCATATATATAAAAACAGCGCACGAACAACACGGTCGGATAAAAAAAAAAAGGACACGCCAATGGCGCAGTTAGGATGCTGGGGAGTGGGAGAGGTCGTTTGCTGAAGTCGTTCAAAAAAAAACCAACAAAACAAAAAAAACAGGAAAAAAACAAGTTGCACAAACACAATTTTAATACCTATTTTTGCGTTTCTTAGTAGACAAAAATTCTACCTTTTTTTTTCTATCTCGAGCGTCCAAACTTTAAAGATGAGTGCTTTCATGGTGAACAACGAAAACACGCTATCATAAAATATATTACTGGGCTTTGAAAAAAAAAAATGTCCAGACAGGCTCACAAATTATTCCGGTGCGTGCACACCTCTGCGGAACATTCGTGTATCTACTGACAGAAAACTGGGGATGAGTTCCTGAGAATAGCGAAGTTTAGAGTACGATTTAACATAAAAACGCAGTGCGCACTGGGGCGATAACCAAGTGAAGCGTCATTCTCATTGTTCCTACGCCGATAGTCATGTTTTGGGTTCTTCCCGTTCTTCGTGTTGTCCTTTTACGATAAATTGGCTGAGAAAAGTTACCGTTTCTATTATTTTGTGGGGTCTGAACATTCAATGGAAGCCGCCGTCAATGGCTAGAAAGAAACGAGATGATTCTTTTGGAGCTGACTTGGAGGCCCCGGTGAATGTTCAGAAGCGCCACCCCTATACTCCGTAAGCTGAGACTAGAAGCTGTGCCGTCAGCACGAGCTTTCTGCCCTTTCTAACTCAAGTGTTAACGCGCAGACACGCGCAACCAAAGCACTGCAGAAGCCAGCGAGCTTGAGCTGAAGGGGGAGCTTCTATACTAAGCATAGATCGGAGAAGCAAGCACTCCTGGGACGTCGAGGCTCTCAGGAATGACTTCAGTCTTCGAAGCTTGGAGCACGTATGTTCGGCTTCAGCGGTGCTGACGGGCATGGTGGCCAGGATTTATAACAGGCGGTTTACATTATGATACAAGGCCTCCGGGCTAAGGGAAGTGGTCTGTACCGCTGAAATGCGCAAAGTGGTGCGGCCCCTCAATATCCGTGTCCAAACCAAAACTCCCCCGGCAGTTCATTTAAAGAAACGAATCCTTCACACAGGCTGTAGATTTGCTTGAAGTCGAGGCTTGCGACATAGAAACCGAGGCCATTGTCCACTACATCGCTCTCGCCTAGGGACGACGGTGCTGCTGAAGTGAATCTGCAGACTCTGTTGGAGATGTTGATGATACTTTTGATGTTGCAAGTCAATAACGATTCTCCCGCAAAATTATCGAGCTATGGATTTTTCATGGCCATGGAACTAATTTTTGAGAGCCTATATACGTAAAGGAACTTTCGGGACTCACATGTTAAACGCAAGATTATAAGCATTACCCAGTGCAGAGATTAAATAAGTCAACTAGGTGCATTTTGAAACCAAGGGATTTTGAGCGCTTGAACGTCTTCCGTTGAGCATATGCTGCGGCATTTTTCTCTCAATTCTTTTTTATAAAGGTTTTTTAAGCATTTTGGTTGTATGTATTACTGAATCTAAATGAGTACAGGCGAATGAACTCTAAAAAAAAGACGAAACGCAAAGAAAAAGCTAAGCTATTTGTCATTTCGTTGTCCTGTTTTCTCCTCAGTGTATGGTTTCCAGTCAGTGTGATACAATTTTTGAATTTTGTTTAGCTGCCCTGAAATTGTCTTCCAGTTCCTGAGATTCAAAGGGTACGAGACATTAATCAGGCCGCCTGCATTCTCCTAGTCAAGGCCAGCGTTCTTCGTGCTCAGAATTTCGCGGTTTTCGTGAAGTCGGGAGCTGAGCCTTTCGCACCTACGAGTCTGAATGAATGCTTTGGTTACAAACACGGTCGAGTTTGGTTAGAGCTCTTCAGAGAGCCGGAGACGGACTTCTGTTTCTCACGCAGTCTAGGGACGGGGTCGTCATCTTTGTTTTGATTTGGAATGTTGTTGGCCCAGCCCCTCGACGTAGTGGGTTGCCAAACAGAAAAAGAAACACTGCACTGGATATTTTATGCCTTGACAAAACGGCAAGGCGAAAAAAAAAAAAATGACACCGACAAGGGGAAAGGGATATAAAGGAAAACCGTGATATTTCGAGAGCGTTTCGACACTTCAATATTTCCCGTTGCTGCGGTACTGAGACTAGCGCTAACTCACAATCGAACAGTAATTAAAAATACATTTAAGGGTTGGAATCCAAATATGTTTCATTTCATCTCAAATAGTGCCAGAAAAAATGATGGGTCCTCAAAATATTCTGAAAGTATTATATGTTGGTAAAAAATTTGACTTGAACTAAACTGCAAATTAGATTCACGAGCGATTTTTGTTCTTGACTTTTTGCGCTTCAAATATGCAGAAGGTTCGTCTTGCCAATTTATCAGTTTCTACGAGTGACTTTTGGAGACTCACTACATTTAGATTATTTTTAACAAATATTGGTTTAAGAATTTGTATAGAAAAGTTAAAGTTCTCAAGAAGTACGTTTTTATTTTATTTTATAAAATAAAAAAAGCCTAGAATCTTGCACCTTTGGGAGTAATAGGCCAAGTTTGAATCGAGCTAGCTTTCTCTTGTCTCTGGTCCGCCACTGAAGTGCCAAAGTAAGTGCCAGACATGAGCCATAACTTCCAAAGTAAATCCTAATTTAGGGATTCCGTACATGCAATATATTTGCTTTTCTCTAGTACACTGCCAAAGTGTCATGCTTGAGCAACAACTGCCAAAGTAAATCATTATTCGGGGATTCCGGATTCATGCCGAAGTTTCTCTTTTCGTTGACCCTCCACAGGAGTTCCAATGTAAGTGCAAGACTTAAGCCATAACTGAAATATAAATCCTACTTTGAGGTTTCCGGATATGCCAAAGTTTTGCTTTTCTCTGCTACGCCACAGGAGTGCCAAAGTAAATGCCAGACTTACGCCATACCTGCGAAAGTTACACCTAATTCGGAGATTCCGGAGGTGCCAAAGTTTAACTTTTCTTCGGTCCGCCAGAGGAGTTCTAAAGTAAGTGCCCGACTTGACCCATAACTGGCAAAGAAAATTCTAATTTGGGAATTCCCGACATGACGAAGATTGGCTTTTTTTTTTCTGCTTCAGGAGTGCCAAAATACGTGTCCTACTTGAGCCATAACTGCCAGATTAAATACTAAATTAGGGATTCCCTGCATGTCAAATTTGGCTTTTCTCTGGCTAGCCACGGGAGTACAAAATATGGGACGAAAGTACCGAAGCAAACCCAGAGGCCTGCTGAAGTTTGGCATTGCTTTCTTGTGAAGCAAAATTGCTCATTCACGCTCTCCATAAAAAAAATCAATTACAGAAACTTTCGAAACACGATGGTCCATGTCAGTATCTGCATTTTCAAACAGCACGGCTATAATTAACAGTGGCGTGCCAATATCGTTCGAAAAGTCGGTTCCAATTTTTGCCAAATTTTCAGTTTTGCACCACCGCTCGATATATACGCAGGTATTTGTATTCGCGTACCATCATTTCGCCACAAATACTCTACAATGCGTCTGCTCCCTATCAGCCGGGTGTAGTGCAATTCTGATTTGTATAGGCTGTTGCATATCAACTGTTGAATACCATTTGGAAACGCCGACAAGCTAAATTGCTTTCGATCGCTCCCAGAAGCTTATTATACCAACATTATTACACACAGGTTATTCGTGACATATTCACAAAAGTGATACTGCTCTGTAATACAATAAATTAAATTATTATATAGGATTGACACAGTTATCATGCCAAGCAAAACTATTAAACACGAATGACTCTGGGCATTGAG